TAATATTAATTAAAAACATTGTTCTTATGGCTCTATTCATTTCTTTGGGGCTTGGAGTTTTGGGAGTTTCATGAAAAAGAATGAATACAGTGGTGAACTAACTTGTTTTGCATCCTTCGAGAAGGATTTATGTTTATACCTTTCTGTTAGTCCCTCTTCAGCATTTCTTGGGAATTGTACTGTATCAAATCAGGTCTAACAGTACGACTTCTATCTTACCAGTTAGTACCTGATGCTGTAAGGGAAAACCACTGAAAACCAGCTATAGTTACCTGTAGTTTTCCTGGGGGGAAAATTGCTTAATTTTTAAATGCTTAGTACACCACTTTGCTAACCCTAGTGAGCAGCCTAATCCTCCTTTGCTATGCTGTAGCTTCATCAGCGCTGAATCCACAGCTCCCAGTTTACATACATTTTCTATATAGAAAAAATCCAGTATTTCTAGGTGTGACTTTTTTTTTTTTGGTTATTTTCCTGAGTATAATAATAAGAATGGAAAAAATCCTACTGGGGTCTGTAAAAGGAATTCTGTCCATGTAAGTATTTTTAAAATCTTTATCTCACTGAAAATACTTAAAAACGTGTAAAAATAGTCGCAAAAGATATTTTTAGGAAAAACACCCACTTGCGCAGAGTAAAGGGTCGGGTTGGTTTTTAAACTGAGGTTTTTCGCTTGCAATAAGATTGTTCTTTGCCTTTGTAGAAGCTAAAGCTGAGCCTGCCAGTGACGGGTCCCCGATCCCGGCGGTCGCATCCCGGTTCCCCCGTTCGGCCGCACGAGGGCAGTGCCCGCACCGGCTGCGGCTCCCGCGGGCTCGGGGCGCGGGATCGACCCTCCGGCTTTGTCATCCCGGCTGTGCAGCGCTGCTCTTAAAACTGCCTCGGGCCTGAGGCACCTGGGGGCATGTGAGGCTTTCACAGGTGTGTACGTTCCGCGCCCGCCCCGAGCGCACGGCAGCGCGGTTGGGCTGGGCGTGAGCAGCGCTGGGATCGCCCCGTGCTCGAGCCCATGGACAGCGCACCAAAGCCAGGCGGGCTGGTCCCATCCCACTGCACTGCCCCTGGCAATGGTCCCGGTGGCACAGGGCAAAACTCTCATCACGGAAAACTGGATCCAAAGGGCACCTCTGTTTGAATGACTAACGCAGATACTACTGGGAGACGCAAAATGCCGGGGAAATCTTGGGGCAGTTGCAGCGCTCAGTGGAAGCTGATGAGAACTGTTAACAGCGTGATTGGCAGTAGCAACTTTTCACACCAAAAACTTTCACGCAAAACCAAACGTCACAGAAAAGAGCCCAGCGTGAGTCACACTCTTCAGGTGCTTCATGAGGAGAGAGAGGTCCAGGCATGGGTGCTGAACCCGGCGCTGTGGCTGCATCTCCCTCAGCCCTCCGGCTTCTCCCAGGGCTCTGCCTCAGCAATCCGCTCCCTCTGGCAGAGGCCCACGACCAACAAAAAACATACTGCATTTTGTGGCCCTAATAGTCAGGTTTTGCAGCTGATTGACCTGTGTATACAGAAATTTGACCGTGGTTATTGTTAGTCACTAATCAATTTTATTAATTAATTGAAGGGAAAAATTGGGGTTTTTCTAACTATTCCTTATATGTATTTAACTGAAAACTGAAATAATTCGACGTGTGTTTTCTATCTCTGGATATGCCTGGCTCTCTGTGGCCCCATTTGGTTGCTGAGACTGGGGTGGGGTGGGGTCTGAGGGACTGAACCCCCTGCCCACCCACATAGTGACAGCCTGTACCTGCATTGACAGCAAGGCAGGCCTGGCTTCACCCCATGCCCTGCAAACTACCTGCCTTTAGGTTTCTAATTTTTTAGGAATCTCCTCTTTCCATCCACTTAATTTTTCAGCTGATTCCCTGTTCCACGAAGCAAAGAGACATCTGGGAATATAAGGATTATTATATATATATATATTATATATATATAGCAATTTCTTTTTAAACAGTGGCTGGATTTACCTTCATTTTCTGATGAGACCAGTTTGTCTATGCTAGCACTCATGTGTGAAGGTGTAGGTAGCATCTCACATTCCACACTGCATGTTTGGTTTTTTTTAACCATGCAAATTTCCCACCTATCAAAGTAATTTGCAAAGGTAATTTTGTTTCTACTCATCTCTTACAATAAATCAGTGAATAAATAAATTATAATGCAGCAATTAAATGTATAATGAGATGGGCAACAACTATTAATAAATGCAGAGCTAGTTGCCCAAAGGTGAACAGACTTCCCCTCTCTTCTTACAAGTCAGGTAATGATCTTTCTATGATCGAGAAACAAGCAGCTGCTAAACATGTAAATGAAACCAAGGGATATATGAGTTCACACTATAATACTGTTCTTCAGCCTCATTATTATTGTTACATTATCGGTTCTTCTGTGACTTTTCCTCTGAATATTTAAAGACAGGGAGGGATATACAATTATTTTTAAACATCCTTCTGCCAAATGAGTGACTGAATAAACCCAGCCACGTTGCTGAGGATTTGGCTCCCATCAGTAACGTAACTGGTACAGCACAGCTGAGTTTTAACCAGCAGAGCTATTACAAAACCAGTGACGATCTGCAGGATAATTCAAAAATTCTGAAATTTCATGGAGGATAGAAGCTCCTTTAAAAAGAAATCAGCATTATTAAATATCTAATCTGAGCAGAATTATAGAAGAAGGGTATAAACTAGTGTATTTTAATATAATATTTTAATATTATAATATTTTATAATATTATATAATATTATAATATTTTAATATTTTAATATATAATTTTAAAAATGACTGAATTGTAATATCACTGGTGCTCTCAGTAGTTGATACTGCAATAAGGAAAAAGCAGAATGATCTTAATACCTTTTTGTTCCTAAATTCTTCCTCCTGTAGTAGGTATGCTTGAGAATGCTTCATATTTCCTCAATTTCCATCTATCCTCAGTATTTTTTTCCTATTCAAAATTAATTGTCAGAGAGTTATCATTCCATTGTAACACCTTTTATAACACACACCTCTCCATGTGTGTGTTTACCCACATATAAGCTTTACCTCCTGAGATCACATTATTCAAAAAGTTTGTTTTTAAAGGAATGATTGATACATTTGGTTTTGCCCAAGTCTGAGCTGACTCTGGCACACCATTAACGTGGGGCTGAGGAGACACAGCATTGCCCAGAATATCAAGTTTTTATCTGAAACTTTCTTGTATTTAGAAGAGTACAGATTTCCCTCCCACCCCCCATTCTGTTTGAGAATTTCAAGGGCAGCAGTTGGCAGAGAACTCAATGAAGCTACTGTGGTTGATTTATTGTAATAGATGGCAGGAAACAGAATTATCTTAGCAAATTAGTTTGGCTGATAGGAAAGCTGGCCAGCAGATAAGAGGCAGTGCTGATGTCTGACCTGACCTGCACATGCTTCTGGCGGAGTTTCACCAATTCACAGCTGAGGATGAGTTGCTGCACTCAACACTAAACAGAAAGCGCTCAGGAAGAGCAAACAAGCCCAGACATGTCCAGGAGCTCCACACAGTGTGCTCCCTGGAAGCACTGCCCTTGAGACTGTCCAGCTGCCCTGCAGTTTCTGGGTAAGGTGAGAAATATTAGCTGATCCATTTATCATTTTTATACAGTTCAGAAACTCAGCAGGAGGCTGTTTCACAGAAGAAGCTGGACAAGTTTTTCAACTTGCATACTGCAGTCACAGAAGTTCAACTGTATTTATCAACCCTAATGACATGATTTCTTTGGTTTTCCACTGCTGCACCTACCTGCCTCTTTACAGCCCCCAGCAAGCAGCATGAGGGGACCTGTGGCAGTCGGGTGACCTATGAAGCTTTTACTAAAGGTAAATATAAGGGTCTTTCATGCAGGCAAAAAAAAAAGCATCTAACTCTCCCCCAACACTACCTACTCTCACTCTTTCTGTTTATACTGGAGAAAGCAGAACTCTCAAAGCCTTTAATAAGTTCACAGTATATGCTATTTAGCAATGAATGCACAGTTGAAGCAAGAGTTTGCCTGCCATACTTCATCTTGCCATAGCTCCCTGGAGCACGATAGCAAGGGTGGGAACTGTAGGACAAAAGCCTTCAGGTGATATTATTGGTGCTTTGCTGTACAAGGTGCTCAGAAGATGTTTTTAAAGTGGGCATTAGATGTGCCTTCAGCTTTATGTTGGGCTGCTGAGGAAGGCATGAACAATTTTTCCGTGCAAACTGTAACTTTGCCAGCAGACCCCAAAGGATCCCCCTCCAGAAACTGACAGTTTTAATATCCTTCCTCCTTTAGAAGCAATTGCCTCCCATGCCCTGGGACACCCATAGTTTGGTCAGAGATGCTGACTGACCTCACAGACAAAAATTTTGGAATTTAGTGGAGCAGTTAATTTTCTGTACCAAGTCCCCCATAAGCTCAAAAATGCAGAGCTGTGGAAGAGAAACATAGAGGGAGTCCTGATCCCTGCAGATATTGGTGTCCGTGGGTGGTCAAAGCCTTGACACATGTGGGCCACCTGGAGTAACATATTTATCAACAGTGTGTAGGGATGAGTTTTGTATTCCTTTGATTAGTAGCATTCATCCTGTCTTTGCAGAGGCCAGGAATCCTGCTAAACTCCTACAGTCAGAACCAACAGCCACCTCTTAGTTCTTATGACGAGTGTGAGGAAATTAAATTATAAACATGGAGAGAAATACAATGATAAACATTGGGGGGAGGGAAATGAACCCTTTCTGCAAGGTAAGAACTCAGTGATAAATAGATCTGTGCATATTTCCCAGCCTCATTCCTCACTTGCCAAGTCTGATGCTATTTTCATTAGGCCATGTTACCATACATGTCATTTTATACAAAGGTGCAGTATATCACAACTGGAGGTTGAGGTGCTTGTAGTGAACACAAATGAGCTTGTAATGGTCCATCTGCTTTGATTTTATTTAGTGATCCCTCAAGGGCTGGGAGCTAGAGTGAGAATAACAATGCTTCAACCCATCTGCTATTGTAGTACCAGCTCCAGTTGAATTATCACATGTTCTGAGTGGCTGGCATATGCTGTGACATAAAGCCACAAGAAAGTGTTGCTCTCCAGCTGTTGTGTTGACAAATACTTTTCAGCCAGTCATTAAGTTCAGCTCAATAACCAGGCGGAAACTGTAGCTAAAAGTTGATTATTATTTTATTTTATTTTAAGCATTAGAAATCACTAGTATAATATATTTTATTTAAAAATGTGTCACTAAGGGGACACATTGTATATGAGCTCTAACAATAAAAAATTCTCTGTGATGCCCATAAATTTTCGTGTTATAGGATTGGATGGGCATCTCTGTAACTGACAGTGTAAATCTTAGTAATGAGACTATGGCTAACCTTGTTTGAGCAGCAGCACATCTGAAGCTGTGTACGTATAAACTTGCTGGCTTAGTGGTGTTATGGGCCATGAACATGCCTCAGAAAGATTGTGATCTGAGGTCCCATGCAATGATGGATAACTAGATTGCCTTTAAATTGAGGAGGAAAGCAAGGAGAGACCCACGCAGAGACATGTACCTTGTGGATGCAACAGGTTCAGATGGCATTGCACCTTATCTGGGTTGCAAAGTGTGGTTGCTAGAAGTGGCCACTTATTTGGCCTTTATTGCCTCTTCCACTGTTGGCAGCCTGCTGAAGAGCTCAGGACACTCTGGAGACAACCTAATTTGTGCCCACACAGGCCACTTGCTTCAGAGCAGTCTTAAAAGAGTATTTGTGGCTCTCTGCTGACTATAGATTGTCCCTTTCACCTTGTCCTCTCAGGGCTACTGTGGGTAGGGAATCCACCACTGTGTCTGGGAATAAATAAAATGCATTTTCCACAGATTCAAAGGCTGATATACAGACAGATGTATGTAGGAGATGTGAGGTCCCCTGCAGGGGCTAATGTTCTCTCTTTCTGTAGATAACGCACGGAGGGACGGCACACACCTTTTGGGCACTGCCCACCATCCAACAGACACATGTTCAATGACAACAGAGCAAATAAAATCTGTTCTTGATATTCAAGAACACTCTCCAGAATTCTCATCCCTAATCTGAGCCATCCCCACGTGAGTGGGGAAGGGGCTGGTGAGGGGTTACGACCAGAAGACACTGAAGGACAGTGCTGAGCCTCGACTGCTGCCGCACCCCAGGAAGGCCGGGCGGGCTCTCCGGAGCATGGATGGCTCTTGTGTGCTTCTGTTACCCATTGCATTAGGGATTCAGTTCTTAAGTATGACTTAGGCTTGTATTTTGCCTCAGAAAAACAATAGGCACTGTTCATACTGAAGCATTTCAGTTTTAGAGGTTTATATTTCCTATTGTACCCAAAGACCTGTGGGTGCCAGCTGTCACTGGTGCTGCCATTGTATTATGATCCCCTGGCTAGTGCAGGAATTGTTGATTACGTTGCCTTTTGAATCCGTTGATTACCATGAATAATAGGCCAAAAAGGCTGTCAGCGTTTTGACTTTAACTATAACTGTTACAATTAATTATGGGTTTAATTAGCAGATATGCCTAGCAGTGGAGAATATAATACTTCATGGGTAACAGATGATTCTGCAGCTGTAACATAAAGTGTGATACAGGTTGGGGTACAGATAGTTATTAATAAATGGCTTCTATTGTTTGAGGTCTTTATTTATACAAATTAGCGGGCACGACATAATCAAGCCAAACTGTATAATTTATAATAATTGATTTCATTTTGACTGACCACCAGTCGGCCTACTACATGCCCTCAGAAGAAAAATAGCCCTATTAGGATAAGTTTAATCCTAAACATAGCTAATGAATCCTATTACTTTAAGGTCATATTTGAAGCTTTTGTTAATTGTCAGAACCATTTTAAATTGATTAGAGTTAAATTAAATCAATGTAATGTTTAGAAAAACAATATTTCTAATGGATGAGGCCAAGCTGACCTCGAATAAACATATTTATCAACCGATTTCAGTGAATGAGAAGGCTAGCAGCTGGGCTCATAATTCATGATTGTCTATAATATGGGAAATGTCACTATCTAGGCCATTAATTATGTCAGGTAATAAATCTGTTGCTCACAGTTGAGCATTTGCCAGTTGGGGTAACAATCCCCTCAGTAAGGTTATGATGTTTAGAGACTCTCTCCTCTCCTAAACCCACACTTTATAGTAGCAGAACAACTGCGTGAAACTTTAGTGGGAATGAATATGGTGTTTCCATAACTCTGAATTACCTGACAACATGCCAGACTGTGATAACTTAGTATGGAATTGTCATTTGAAATAACAAGGCTGTTCTACGAGGAAAAAGTTTTGCCTCACTATATAATGTTTCCCAAGCTAGAGACAGGAGCAGCTATTAATAGTTCTTTGCAGACCTCTACTAAGAGTCTGATTTCACTAAATATATTGTGTGGCAAAATGTACAGTGATGATAGAAATAATTGTTTTGCACAAGCTTGAGAAATTCAGGATGGGTTGACATGAACTAGGTTACATAATGTTTCACAGGTAGTGATGGGTACAGTTTAATACAACAGGCTATAGGAAAAATTATACACAGAAGTAGGATCAGTTTAAGGTTAATCATGCATTCATCAGCTTAGGAAAATGTCTGGCATTATTGCAGACAAATGACAAAAAACATCTGCTCCCCATTCAATATTTTGTCAAAGAAAAACAACAAAGATAAACTCAATTTTCCTAAAGTAAAGGTGAGGAAATAGTATAAAAGTGACATAGAATTCATGAGAGAGAGAGAGAGAGAGATAAATTCTCTCTTATATCGTATTATCACAGAAGAAAAGACAAGTATAAGTAATGTAATACAATATTTCTATTCAAAAAGAGCATGATAAGTGATGAAAAGTTCACTAAATTAAAAAGAATCCGGACCAGATCAAAAAGATTCCTACCATTTTTTGAGGTGCTTTACTCATTCCCTAGAGCTAGCCTTTCCATGTTGCAGGTCAATACAAAATGCTGCGTTCTGGTCAGCACACTGAAGTGATGCTGTGTCTGCAGTGGGTGAAGCATTCTCTTACTGCAGACTGTCCTGCTTTTGGAGCATCAGCTGGTTTTGTATTTCAGGCTCAGCCATAAGCTTCAACACTGAATTTGACCATTAGCCCTGAACGGTACTAATAAATGGTCATATCCTGACGATATTAATGAAAAGTTAATATAGTTGATCAGTCTTAGATTTTGAACATGCAAGGTACCATGTGCTAGTAGGTACACACTGCACTTTCCTGTACATGATCGACATTTTGCTTTCATAAGTTAGATATGTCTTCATTGAATCACATCAAATAACTCTGAACAGCCACAAGTACATTGTGAACTGGCCTTTTTGTGCCTTAAGTGTCCAAACAGCTTCATAAAAATTAGTTGTGAAAATAAGTACTCGAATGCAAGTCATAAGCTTACATACATTGTGAACAACAGATATATGAAAGAGTCTTTAAGTCAAAGTAGTTTCCTATGAGAAGAAGAAAATACAGATGCTTTCTAGGTTCCCAAACAAAGCACAGCATCTTCACTAAAAAGGTCCTGCCAGCAGTTCCATGGACAGACACTTATGTCATAGGAAATAAGAAATATAACTAGAGGTCATCTGTCAGGATGAGACCCTTCATATGAAGCACTTAGAACACCAGCCCATGGACAGGATGCCTTGGTCTCTGCTGCTCCTCTTACAGAGGCTACAGGCAAGTCTCAGTCCCACATTTGATCTCTCCTGATGGGAAATGCTTTAGTTCACACTGTTCAGCTTCCCTCTGGGGGCTGCCCTGCCTGTGCATCTGCTGTGCAAGAGCTGATGCAGTCGAGCACAACTCATCCCAGTGGGTAAAATCCAGCATTGCTTTCTGTTTGGGCCAGACTTACAATAAGCTATTTGTGTTACTGAGAATAAGACAAGCCATACTGAAAGAGAAATTTACCCTAACACACACAAATTTCATTTACAGTGGGCTGAAGCTGCCACTTGACCTCAAATTTCTGGCAGATACTTACTTTGCAGATACTACTTGCAATTAAGCATTTAAATAGGAATTGGTTCCATTTGTATATAACTTATCAGCAGCTTTGGAAAAATATGAGAAAATCAAACCCTCAGCTGCAAAACACTGCACTGGAGAGCAGCTTTAGGAAATTAAGACAATTTGTGTGTGTGACAAAGAATAAGAGACTGTGTTTGTATGAGTGTGTATAATTACTATTTCATTTCTTGGTTAAAACCTCTGTGTGTGTGTGTGTGTGTGTGTGTGTGTGTGTGTGTGTGTGTGTGTGTGTGTGTGTGTGTGTGTGTATGTGTCCTTTCCTTTATGGCAAGGAAAATTGCTCTTCTAACCTGTCTTCAAAATGTAATAACTTTACTTGCAACCAACCACTGTAGACCTGGACTGGACTCTGAATTATTACTGTGAGTTGAAACATTTCTTTAACAAAACTGAGTCCTTTAATATCCCCCATCTCTGTTATTAGATGGACGAATGAATTTTACTTTGAACATAACATGTGGCATTGTCTGAAAATTGCCGGTATGAACTGAAGTTGGCAGGTATTTTCTTGCTCTCCTCGTCAGTGATTGCCATTTATTATATGTTGCACCTTTATCTGTCAAATACCGCAGAGCGCTATATTGATTTGTGTCTGCCGCAAAGCAAAGGTCACTTTGATCAACATACTACAAAACCAGAAAAAGTAGGGTTCTGACATTTCATTACCTGGGAAAAAAAGGACTAAAATAAATAAGAATATGTTTGAGAACAGAGCACTTCAATATCACAGTGTGCAGTAACTGTAATTAAGAAAAGAACTGCTCTATTGAGGTTAAAGAGAAAAAAGAGAAGGCAGGTTTTCTTCCAGGGACTATTCTTTACATGACTGATTCTGTAACACTACAGCTGTGATCTTACTGAAGGGTTACATTCATTACAAATCAAATACCTTTGCTTCTCAGATTCAGACTTTTAATGAGCAATAAACT